TAACACAGCAGCAAACAGCCGCTGATAGGGGTTATCTGTGCAGTCACTCATGGGCCATTTCACAACACTGAGCACCGAGCAACTGTAATGGCCCCTGCAACTTTAGGAACACAAACACAAGAAAGTATAAGACACACTACAGTACATGCTGTTTCTGTGATTTTAAGTTAAACTGTACCATTGTCTCCTGTAAGAAAATGTTATGAGACTGCTACTATATCTTTTCCATTTTTCAAATAAGGATGAAATAGTTTTCTGAAATCAAATCATCCATACATTTCGGGATGTTGTTTCCCTTGGCAGCAGTAAACTGAGATCTACTAACAAACGTTACTCAAAAACATTAAGTAAACCTTCTGTAGTTAACTAACATTGATCAAAGAGGTGTTGTTCTCTGGAAATAAAGCCCACCTTGCATTTACTCTTAACCACAAATAATTGAATCCTGCAATAACTGATACTTCATGACGCTGTGTCTGCTGTATGGCGCCGAGCATGTAGCGTGCAGTCAGGACTTTTTTAATGAAGTAATCTCACAGTCTGTTTACAACAATAAACATTTAAGAGGACCAATTATCTTAAATGTGTAGTCTATTCCCGATTAGAAGCTTACAAGCTATGCCGAATGGAAGCCATTTAGCCTAACTTGCAACAACATTACATTTGGTGTAGAAGCTGCCGATGACCTGCTTTCTCTCCATGATGGCTCCAGTTGTGGTAAAGGCAAAAACCCGTCTGTCAAAACTGAAACTCCTCCTGATTTATTTTTTTTAAAACTCACATTCATCGCATGTAATTAAAAGCAAAACACATATATAAGGTAGGACTTTGAAAATAGATAATAATGTTGGCGTTTGAAACTTAATTGATGTTGTTAGTACCCGCCCACGCAAGTATTGAACCAATCAAATTACAGAACCAATATTGTTTGTTGGTACCAAAAACACTCCTTTTTTGCTATCAAAATTATTAGCCAAATCCGTTTATGAGTAACAACAGACAAGGACTTACCCAGATTTCTTAACAAAGATACATCTTCATTTCAGTCAAACATTAAAGGTTTAAGTTTTAAGTTAATATAACATCAATGCACACATTTGCAACGATTAAAGGGTCAATTAAAAAACTAAATTTGGTCTCTTTCACCTGTCAATCAATTCACAAATTACACATGTATGTTCACATTACGCTGTAAGTTAATGTCACTTCTATTCGATTGTCTCTTTTGACTGTCTTTACTGTGCTTTAATAACAAGCCTGCTATAAAGTATATCCTTCTAGCAATAACATAACTATAGAACTACATTAGTAGCAAACAGAACCTGTCTTCATTTAAGAATAATACTCGTGTTTTGAATGATGCAGCTGTTCGGTATCCGTCATGAATGCTTACTTGCTGGTCCCCCTGCTTTGTGCCACCTCTCCATCATGAGAGACAATACGCAAGAGGTAAATGCTTAAAAGCAAAGCACCAAAAGCAATAGCTGCAGTGTGGAATCCATCAGACAGGCCACAAGTGTTGGTATATAAGATATATTTCTCTGCATTTGACCCATCCTAGTGTTAGGAGCAGTGTGCTGCCATTTTGAATGGCGCCCGGGGAGCAGTGTGGGGAACGGTGCCTTGCTCAGGGACACCTCGGTAGCACTTGGTCTTGCCGGGACTTGAACTGCTGACCTTCCAGTTGCCAAGCCAAGACCCTATCGACTTCGCCACCACCGCCCGTATATGATGGAGATGGCAGATAAGCCCATGTGTTTAGCTATGGGAGTGGGTGTAGTGAAAGGGGATCAGTCCACAGCAGTGTTTAGAGGTTCAAACGCCCCTCTGGGGAGGAGAACGGATCGATCCTGCATGGCTCTGAGCCAATCCTCTCCCTGCCTTCAGCCAGAAATTCATCCACACTATATATAAGCCTCTAAGCCTTCAGTCATACTGTATATATAAAGCACTGGGGTACAGGATTTCGCCATATACTTTTGTGTTTCACCAGTAGCTGTATTATGAAACCCATGCCCTGTGTTTATGAGCCAACTAAATAAAGATTTGTTTAGGTGGCTTTTCACAGAGAACCCTGCCGCATCGCCTTGTGGTGCATGCGTTGTCGTCATGATACTTTGATTAGAGGGAGCAATGGAGATAAACTGTAACTGCTCCGTTCTCATTAGTCTGCGAGCTTCCCACCCACAGGAGCTCCTCCCAAACCCACACGAGGAACAGGGCACCTCAACACAGCCTGCAGGGACAGGACACAAACACCACAGCTGCCACAGCACCGTCATCAGCAAACTCACAGATGTACACAAAAAAGGACAGATACCCACACTCAGGGGACAGCAAGCACACTCAACCCTCTTTCCAGCAATAAACAGCCTCAGAGGACAATATAAGTGGCACAGAAACAAAATGGGGTTTCCCTGCAGGGACACTCCATGGGCCTTCAACAGAGAGTGTGACATGGTGAGCGACAAACATCCAAAGTGAAACAGATGCATCACAATCCATGTTTAAACAACCTCACTGATGCCCTTTGTGTAAACAGGCGGTAAACATCCCTAGAGCCTAAAAGCTAGGCTAGTTTGGATTGATGGCTGGTAGAGGCCTGGTAGAGGTATGGCCTATGGTAAGGCCTATGGTATGGTCTATGGTATGGCCTGGTAGAGGTCAGCCCATATTTGGGGGACAGGAAAAAGGATGAAGAGGTGGCAGCAGGTGTCCGGGCTGTTGTCCGTCAGGCAATGCTGTGACAGGTTTATCCCAGCCGAGGGGGAATGTTACACACCGAACGGCACAATGAGGACCGATAAACGTCAGGCCTAGCCTCAGCGCCGTGGTAATGACTGACAAACGGCTCAGTGGCTCATCTCACAGCCAGTCAAACACAGACATACTGAAGCTTTGTATTTTGTTCTATCAGACGGGAAAACACCTATAGCTCTCCTGACAGTCATGCATTTCAAACATTAAAGGAAAAAAATGTCTTGAAAACGCTAATATATCTATTGCTATACTGTATGCTGTCTGTAGCCCATTCATTAAGTGCTCAATCAATGTACTTGACATATGGGTTCAAAGCCTTTCCAATGCCTTTATTTGCCTTCACACGTTACGATTTTTTTAATGTAGCATTTCTGTTATATATAAATATTGTAGGCATCGGATAACACAAAATACTTTCTACATGTTGGGATTGTTCTGATAATGTATAATTAAGATGTCCCATTTATTCAGTCTGTTTTTCTCTTTCTACAGCATGAATTCAACAGCAATGCAATCCAACTTACATGAGAACTGAATAATGTCATGTTTTTTTTTTTTAATAAAACAGTCTGACCATTAATTTTTGTTCATATTTATTTAAAAAAGGAGCAAGTATATGGCTTCGCCCAAAGCCACATACCACAGAATGTATAGCGTGAGCTAGTTTGCAACGCCCATCTGTAGCTGGGCTAATATAAAAAACACACGCAGTGTAACAACTAGGCAAATAGATGACTACAACTTATTACATTTGTAGGGATTTTTGCTGATTTTAACAATGTATTACATTTTGACCGTTATTTCACAAATCACAAATGCAAATGTAAATGATGCAATACAAAATAATCAAATGTGACGATGATAATGCAGATTAATGCATAGTGAGGTCACCTTTTGTATATCCTATGTGTATGACCCTGTGCCTCTTGTAACGCTCTAATGTTACAGAACGCCTTCAAAAACATAGACTTGTATCTGACTTACAGAGAGAGTTTGACTCAATTATTGTGGATTTAATCAATGAGGTGAAAAGACATTGTTTTTTTAGTTGAAGACCCCACCTGTTCATCAAGCCTCTAACAGAAATAATAATCATTAGCTTGATTTATAACTGACTCTTACACAGTGATGTATACTGAATCAGACATAGAAGAATAATTCAGGCAGCTGAGATTTGTCCAATGCTGCTTCCTCCAGATGTCTAAACCCCCTCCATACTTCTGCTTCAAACACTGAGACAGCAGGGAGGTTAATACAGACACAAAGACGAACAGAGAGTGTGTTTAGCTTTAGTGGAGCACGGCAAAAAAAACATCTGGTCTAGTTTTAAAAAGGTAGCAGTCATCACAGAGAATTATAGTCCACCAAATAAAGGCTGTGCTGGGAGAATTTTATTCCAAAGTGACATGGTATTATAACTTTTAATATACTACCGTTACCAGAAGTAATTGTTCCCTCACTCAAGATAATGTTGGTCCCATGCTCTACTACAGAACCCATATTCGGCATAAAACCCTTTTGAATCGCCACTCAGTATAGCGTAGTGGAAGGGGTTCACTATCTAATATATATCTAGATTTTTCCATAAACTGCATATTCTTTCCATTATGTGGAGGGAAATAAATTGAGGTGAATCGATGATTGAAGAGCACAGTCCCTTTATCACTAACCACTATTGTGATTGCCACACTTAGATCTGAATGACAACACGTTTCATGAATACAATCAGCAGAAAGAGTGAGGAGTGTCGCACCGAGCAACAGCGCTCATTTGCCTGATGAATGATGCACAGCTCCTTCAACATTGTGACCTTTGGGAAGGTCATTAGAGCAGCCGCATAAAGACACTCCTGGATGAGTAAATCACTGCTACATTTGTCATTTTTGTGTCCAGTTTGTTGAAACGCATCTAAATCACAACCAGTGGCTTTATCCACGAGAGCACCAAATCAGACGGGACATTCAGGACTCATTAATTCCCCTGAAAGTTACATAAGATCTGTGTAGCAACCAAAACAAGGGTTGCTCTGTTTCAATCAGTTCCAATGTTAACAGTATATTATATCACTTGTGGTGAGCACACAGAAATAAAATAAATGTATTTACCTATTTTATATTTGATCTGCTGGGTGAACGGGCCAAAAATGTATTGATGACTATTGTGTTTATTATCTGTACTTTGTTTGAAAGCCCTTTTAGCGACATCCATGTACATTGACTTGTAAATGCCACATCTCTTACCCGTGTCCTGTCGAAACTGGTGCATGGACTGCAGGTCGATGATGTAGGCAGTGAGCTGGGCATCCACCTGCCCCAGGACTACAGTTCCCCGAGCATCCCCCTTCAGTACATTCTCAATATGGTGGCAAACCACGGCACTGTAGGGCCTCCAGCGGCCATGTTCGTTCATCCACTCCCAGACCACCACCCTGGCAAGGTTCTGAGGAGGGTATCCCAGACCATTGACAGGTACCAGCAGCCCTGATCCTGGACGAGCCATCTCCTTTGTGGTGTCTGCGCTTCAGCTACTGGCTATGTCCCACGCTAGAACAGCACTGCAACTGTCAGTCAACTGACACACTGGAACATTTTCATCACGCCAAACAGATAAGGCTTGAATCAGCTATTAGTATGGTACTCCTCGATTATCTCATGCTGCTCTCACGCAGGCAGCTCTGCAGGAGTCATGGTCTACAGGTGCTTTGTGACTGCTGGCTCTTTGATCAGCCAAAAGCAGCCTCTGGCCTCTTGTGTCTTGGTGTTTGAAGTGGCAGACGTGGATGATGGTGATGATGATGGTTATGATTATGAGATTTGCATTGGTGACAGTCTTAGTCCTCCACAGCCGACCACAGCAGATCAGCAGCAGGTAGACAGGAGAAGTTCTCTAAACAAGAGACAAGGAGCAGAAACACACTGGTAAACAAATGCTGTGATCAATCCCATGAGTTATGTCTTAACAGTCAGTCACTGCTTTATAGGAGATAACACAAAACTGAAACAGTTCTGTAACATAGTCCCATTAGTCGCCTCTAGGCAACACTGTTTACATACAGTGCGGTAACAAAAAAATGTATACGAGCTTTTTCAGCAGCAAAATAATAGTGACTGTCATCAGATTTGTGTAGAGGGGACAAAGCAGTGTGCAAAAATAGCAAGAGGCTGTCATGATCGTAGCAGACAGAATCTCACTCAGACGTTTTCAACACAAGCTTTTCATGTGCAGTAAATGCAAAGCCTGGTCTGTTGCTTCTCACTACTATAACTCATCATACTGAATGTTTTCATGGCATGCAAATTGTTTCAGGATTTGATTCTGGCGATACAGACCTGTAGGCTGCAGTTGTGGTGCCACACATCTCTCAGGTAGAGGCTGCATTTCACAGACTCCGGCGGAAATTCAGATTGCAAAATAAAAAAAACCGAGGTGCAAAATCTCGAAACGCACCTGCTTTTTCACATCTGTGATTTGTACGTTTCCCCGTATCATTTAAACTGAAATCTTCCTTCAAACCCACCTCCTACAGCTCCAGTAATCCACTGTTATTGCAGAAAGCCAAGACGTCGTTTTATTCCCGTGGATCTGCTACAGACTACAGCAGCTTGTTGGTCCGCTCTGTCAAAGTGAATGCATGCCCCAGTTGCACGGTTTTCAGTGTGTGAGGTGCAGAGCCATTTCGCCTTGGACGCGCATGACTGCCACTAACTAGAGACAGCATGCGTGCAAATAGTAAACACGCATTTTATGCCGCCCGCAAATTACGCAAAAAATATCCTGGCGCACCTGTATGGATATCCGTTGAAAATCATTCAAAGTGTCATAACATCAAAACAAAATTATACAACTTCCGGTATCTGGTTTCAAAATAAAACCCCTGTTTACTAGATAATAACCTCTATGATAATAACTTACTGGTTACGCTACACTGCTAACATAAACAAGAAGAAAATAAATAAACATACTGTACCATACCATATTTAGTATGCCATATGCCTGCATGCAACAGTGTTTACGTTGCAAGACTAGATGCAGTAGGCTATACATAAAAGTAATAGAAAAACTTTGATTTGTAAAACAGCTTGATTTTCTGTATTTTCTGACCCACAATCCTTTGTACAACAGATGACTGGGCAATAAGGTAAGTGTAAAGGGCAATATTAAGAGCAGAAGAAGAAATATACCCCAAATGTATGAATGCTGCATGCAACATATACTTAGTAGCCTAAGTGCAATTACAAAACCTACTCACGTAAAAGGTATTTGCGATTTGAAACGCTTTTATTTATTTATTATTTTTGGAATATGCATCCTATGAAATCAATCAGGTAGACATCTGCTACTCTGCATATACATTTTTGTCTATTATGTTTATAAACTCAAATGTCTTGTTGGTTTTGATGTATCTTTCCCAATAGTACATTGTATGAAAACCCAAAGCATTCATTGGTAGTATTGACTCATCTCTGGGCCTTCTGAGGCATAGACTCTACTACTTGAAATCAGTGCAAATTAACCTGTTGCAAAATAACACTAAAACCTATGGATGATGGGGATAGCTTAGATGAAATAACTTACTTCAGAAGCATTACTATGATTTGTGAAATTGTGACCATACTACAATAGGGACTTCAATGAAAGCATTGTGATATTGAGGTTTGAAAGAAAACTACATCAACAATGTATGACTTATAACCATGAACCTGAGTATTCTGAGGATCCTGTGCGGTGGAGGACCTGCCTTGTTTCTGTACCTAAAACGCTATTTCCTTTTAATGCACATTTTGTATTCATTTTATGTTTATGTAAATATTTATTTAGCCTATTTTAATTATAATACGGTGCAACTGTCATGAAGCCTAATTTCCCCCTGGGATTATTGAGGTATTTTGATTAAGCAATTATCACATCCCTGCAGAACATCTAAAATATGCTTTATGCATTTTGTTTGTTTTGTGTGATTGATTTTCTTTCAAAAATAATATCGTTTCTTCAACTATTCACACGACAGAGGCTAAATCTGCCATGTAGGTTGGTCAAAGACATATAGGCATACTCTTGAAGCTCATCTGAAAGAAAATAGAGGAACAAGACAAATCTTCTTCAAACATTGCAAACATCATTATTTATTTGAAGTAGGGCACCATCGTGTGGCGTTTTGTAATCATTACATCTTCTACAGGAAATCGTTTTCTCTCCACGTTTCAACATTATAATTTATTTACTACAACATTTATTTGACAGCTATTAGGTGCTGTTCACTTTTTACAGATTCATATTATCTCAAAAATATGACTTTATTCAACAACCATCAACTAATGATTTATTATAATTGATTATTAAGCTATCGGCCAGTAAAAAAAGTCGTTTTACATTACAGGCCTTATTCTAATTTTTTAATAATTATATTGTAATAATATAGTTATTAACAGGGGTGCACATAACTGGTACGCAGGTACGCATGGGCGGCAACAATCTGAAATGCGTACCTTCACTTGTGTCACAAAGCGCATTTGCGTACCGACGTACTTGTGAAGCTTTTCCAGAAGGCGGTTAGCTCACCGGACGACAGAGTCGGTCTCCGTGTGCACAGACAGGGCTGCTGTTAACGTCGGTCTGTACAACGGAATTGTGCCAAAACTACGTACGCCACCTTCACTGGAGAACTGTGCTAAAACAGCTGATCACAACGTTCACGCTCTGGGGTCGTGAAGTACTCCACTAGCATCCCCCCCTTTGACGTTCGCGATACAGAGGGCTTCATCAAATAACTTTGAGTGGAGCCAGAAGTTGGAGTACACTGACTCCAGGTAGGCTATTCATCTGAGTACCTCACTGAGAAAGTTATGTGCACCCCTGGTTATTAACCTGAAATCGTCCATTCTGCATAGCAGAGTAGGTTAGGTCGATTATTATGCTATGTCAAACTAAGCTAAACTTTAGCCTACCTCTGTAAACTCCAGAAACTAAAAAAAGCCAAACTGACTAATTGTTTATTTACCTGAGTAAATAACAGAAAGATCTTAAAGAAGCAAACCCACCAAAAAGCATTAGACATTTTATTTTAGAGCGAAACTGCAGCAGATATGAGGGGAAAGTTTTGATTTGGTAAGTGCCAATCTTGTGACTTTTTTTGTTGTTCTCTGCCACTGAATATAAGCTTTATTATCTTATAAACAATGACAGTCTATGTATGGTCAAATGTACATCGAAATATAGATATATTGCGTCATGCGATGGAACGCAGAGCTCATGGAATTGAGAACATCTTTTTTCTCTGTCTTCAAAATTCCGTCGATCCAGAACAGAACGTCGCGGGTTACTGGCTTTGAAACACCTATCAGATCAACACTTTGCAGCTCTTCAGACGACCACACCTCTGAGACAGAGACCCCCACCCATGCCCTTTTTCATCAAGACATCCACAGACGACCCACTGACAGAGGCCAGGTGCGACCATGACGGAGGGAGTGAGTATAACTGCTTTTTAAATCCATATTGGACTGGTAAGTAGGCCTACCCATGATTTTTTCAAAACCTAACTTACTCTCATGAGGGATAGCCAAAAAAGTCAAAATTAACCAATTAACCAATTATGAATTTTGTTTTAGTTGTAGCTCCCGAGCGCGTCTTTATTGAATGATGCGAGTAAACACAGCTGGCAAGTATTAAACAAAAACTAAAGTGAACTGGACACTAATTACAAAGATGAACAGACAGATAAACAAGCACACGGTGCACTTTTACAGAAATAACTTAAATACAATTATGTTTTGTTATAATTGTATCGAATTTAATACGTTTTATTTATATTTTAAGGCTTTGGTATTTGACCATGCTGCTTGTAATGGCAATTTCCTTTTCCTATGTCCTATATATTTTTGCTGTTACTTTCACAGAAGGGTTGAAAAGTGATCCAGACGCAGACACAAACAGATGATTTTCCGGTCCTTAGTTGTGGTTTATGATGATGTTTATTCGTCTTTACATACCAGGGTTAATTTAGCGTTCTAGTGATTCTATGAGCATCTGCCGGGCTGGTGGAATCGGTATGCTCTTCTCCTACTGTGTCCCCTCCTCTCCTGTCACCTATGACCTCCTTATATACACCCGGTGCAGCTAAACCCCGCCACCCAGTGTTCATAAATAATATTGCACTATACATATAACTTAAATAAACTGACACACCAACATCACCCACAAAATGGCTCCTACACACCGGCCCCTAATTGGCTTTAGTATGAAAACAAAAACAATTACCAATAAATAATAAAGGAGCTATACAAATGGTGTGTATGTGTTAGCATGTAATTCTTAAATAATTTTTAGTTTATTTTCTTCTCCCTTATTTTAAGGGTCATCAGTCTTTGCTGTTCTTAGGTTGAAGCAGTAGTGTTGCCATCCCGTCCAGCGCCGAGAGAACCTGTGGGTTATATTTTCATCCAATTCCAAGCCTCTCCTTATAGGGCTCCTGCATTGATGAGTTAGTCACTTCTTCAGGTCTGTCACTTGGGTTCAGCCGGTGCCCTGCTACCATAGCAGCAAAATCGCAGATGAGCTGCTCGGTAACGTGTTTGTTGTTAGGCAAGCTGGGATTTTCTTGTCTGAATGGCAAGTCTAGGCAGTATTGTCCATCTGACATTTTCACTTTCTCGGCCACAGGCTTGGCTTCTTCCTCAGGCACTGCGTCAGATTGGTGTAACTCGACATCTGCTGTGAAGTCAGGCATGCTGTGACAGGAGTCTGAAGTCGGCTGGCTTTCAAAAGGCTCGTCTTCTGCCTCTTCATAGTAATCACCTGAATCCCGACCCTCATCTTCTTCTTCTTGGGGGGCCTCAGTTTTGCCTTCAACATCCCTATCACTGTCTCCTTTGGCATCTGCTACAACATCGCCATCCTCTTTGGCGTCTGCTACAACATCTCCATCCTCTTTGGCGTCCGCTACAACATCGCCATCCTCTTTGGCGTCTGACATGTTTGCAGAGTGATTCATAATGTTCAGGAATTGTTTGTCTTCTCTGGACATTTCCTCTGTTTCCTTGCTTGTATTTTCCTTGAAATCATGCTTGTATTGTTTGACCAATAGCTCCTCTAGGTGTACCATGGCTATCCGATTAACAGCAGCAGCAGGGTGGCCATTAGCATCTCTGCTGTCGTTGCTTCCTTTTAGGGGACCATAGAAGACCCACCCCAGTAGGGTCTTTGCAGCGTACGGTCCTTCTCCTTGGCTATTGATCAGCTCCCAAGGTTCCAATACCTTAGGAGAATTTGTCCCAATGAGTAGGTCAATGCCAGAAGCAATTTCATTAATTTTGATGTCCTTTAAGTAAGGCCATTTTTCCAGATCTTCTTGTAGAGGAATATTGTGCTTGGAAACAGGCATGGTTTTATGTGTAAACACATCGGATAGTTGAAGGAAATTGTTTTCGTCCAGACTCGATATTTCCAAACCTGAGATATGATGACTAGACACAATCTTTCTCTGATTCATTGTCTTTAGGAGAATGTTAGTCCTTTGTCCTGTAAGGTTTAGCCTCCTCATTAAACTTTCTGTGCAAAAGGTGGATGAACTTCCATGGTCCAGAAATGCATAAGTTTGTAACACTTTGTCCCCTTTGTGGCCTCTTTACTTGTACTGGTACAATGGAGAAGATGGAGTTTTCATCACCGGCCCCAATGTGACCACATGTATGAGGTGAGATGACACTATTACTTTCCATTGGCTTCCCATTCTGTTTTGTGTGTTCTGCTTCCTCTCTTTTGCCTTTTTGTTCAATGTGGAGTATTTCAGGATGACTTTGA